TCTTGCCACAGCTGCTAAGTAAATCACTGCAGCTGTGTTAATAACATAGTTGTTAACAAATCTGGCTTGCCTGTTGCTTGCCATAAGGTCTCAAAAGGGGACCACATGACTCCCAGATACTGCAACCGTCATAAATATGAATCAGTTGCCAAGCATCTGAATTTTGATCACGTGATTGTGGAGATGATGCAGTAGTGTGAAAAACGGCCATAAATCTCTTTTTTTTCAGTGCCGTTGAAACTGAATGGTCACTAAATAAATAGTTGCCAGTCAAAGGCCTATCTGTACTCCTCTGAAGGAAAGAGGCTAACCTGGGGCAGAGTGGGGTGGAATTCTCTGAAATAGAAGAAAATGGCTGACAGAAACCTTTCCAAAGTCTTCTACATACCATCTATCATCTTCCACTTCAAGGAATTGTTTAATAATACAGTTGGCCATGACCAGTGGTGGGTTTCCAAATTTTTTCCTACTGGTTCTGTGCACTTGTCAAGCCCGAAATTGACATATGCGTAGCCATTTTATTTCGCCTTATTATATATTCCTTTTCTTTCTTTTCCTTTGCTGGTTATGGGGGGGGGGGGGTTTCGGGCTTGCCATATTCCTAAGGTGGGAGGAATGGAGATAGAGAGGGTTGGTTAGGCTAGGGGGTTCTCCTTCCCGTGGGAACGAAAACTGACCCTGTTGAGACCTGGAAGTGGAGGATGATGACACCAGGCAACGTTGATTTACTTCTATTTGGGAATGTGACTTTTGGGGGTTGTTTCGAATTTCCAATATTACATGGTGTAAATTCCGGGTTGAGTCAGATCTGGAATTACAACGGACTTTACCAATTTGATGCTTTCCTAAATAAAAGAAATGGTTTTGGAAGGTAGACTTTGCTCTTTTCTTTTTAAATGGATTTCATCACTGGGAAACCTGACAGTGCTTTGCGAAGGCATGCAGGGCTCAAATACCGACTTTGTCAACACCGGTGAGCTGCCTGAGCCATTTTTTTAGCTCAGCTGAGGCGTGGAAATCTACTCTGCTGCGTGAATCAGCGGAGCTAAAAAAACAAGGAAATATAGGAGAGGTAACGGCGGGTGGTGGGTGGGTGGGGCCAGTCAGAGGTGGTATTGTCGGTTCTCAGAACTGGTCAAAATTTCCGCTACTGGTACACCAGAACTGGTCCGAACCGGGTAAATACCACCTCTGTCCATGACACTTCTCTGACAAAATGGCTGCTTTGTATATAGCTCTTAAGGAAGAAATAGCAGGAGACTTAAAAACTTTTCTTCCTCATTGTTCTTTTTTGGCATGTCCTTGAGGCAGCCCTGACCCATTTCGAACTGGGGGAAAAGCACATTTATCTTTTTACCAATTGATGCAGGAATAAAAAACCCTCCTCATCTGTCATTTCCTCTGATCGCTCTTTCCGGTTTGCACACAAAGGATAATCCAGGTTCCCAGGTGATCTGTGTTTGCTTCCAGCTACCTCGCCTCAGCCTGAACCTGAAACATTTGTTTGCAGACATCTGCTAAATCAGAGGAGGCATACTCATTAAGGGGCCATGATTAGTGGAGGGTTTGCAGCTCAGGGTAGTCTCCAAAACAGACAAGCATCTGATGCCCTTCTAGGAAAACAGATAGGGGTCAGTACATTTGGCACTGATTTTTCTCCCGTCCACCTCATAACAACCTCATTCTTGGTCTTTAATGGGTGAATGGACACGAATTAATGTGATACATATTCTAGGATGGTTCACATCAAGAGAGATGTGTTGTGAGAAACAAAAGCATTCTTGGGATAACAATGACACCAACAGAACAGAAAATTTGTTAGCTCGGGGTTGAACTGTGGGGTGTTTTCCGCTCTCTAAGTTTGGTTGTTTTCTTGCAGACATTTCATTACCCAGCTAGGTAATATCCTCAGGGTTAACCCCATTCCCTTCTAGGTCTGATGAGGTTACCTAGTTGGGCAATGAAATGTCTGCAAAAAAAAAAACCCCACCAAGTTCAGAGAGAGTCTTATATAACTTCTTGACCAGTGTTTTCAACCTTAGCCACTTTAAAATGATCGGACTTCAACTCCCAGAATTCCCCAGCTGTGTATGCCAGAATCCCCCAGTCTCAACCATCCAGGGCCGGCTGTGGAATTCTGGGAGTTGAAGTCCAGACATCTTAAAGCTGCTAACATTCTAAAGATAAAACTTCTCTGTGGTAGTTTTAGAAACGTTCAAGCAGATACGTTCTAACCTGTTGAAACCTTTTGCAAGGTCTCTTGGAATATGAATATCCACAATTGCATCCTTCGCCCAGCAGCGAAGAAATTATCAAGGCTTTGGCAGTTTTCTCCTTCCCTTAAGCGGGGAGTCAATCTGAAGATGTCTAGATTATTGGGCTGTTTGGGGGTTTTTTAAATTTATTTTTCTTCCCCATGTTTTGGCTGGAGATTTGGCTGGCTAGCAGCACGAAATTTAGGGCAATTTGAAAAGACTGTAGATTTATACTCCTTGTCATTTCTGAAGGTTTGGAAACGGTGGACTTGCCTTAATTGGCCCCCAATCTGCCAGAAAAGGAAACCAATAACCATTTTGATAGAATAGCTCAGGGTTCAACAAGTGGGGTCCTTGCTGCTCTCTGAGCTTGGTGGTTTTCTTGCAAGCATTTCATCACCCATCTAGGTAACATCATCAGTGCACCAGTCTGCAAGAAAACCACTAAGCTCGGAGAGCACCAAGGACCCCACAGTCACTTTAATCTTTTCAGCAAAAATACCCAAAGTTCTTGGTAGCATCTTAAACCACGTGGGAGCTTAAATGAAGCATAGTCTGCTTTATCTCCGGGGGATGCAATTATCCAATATATCCTCACCATACTAATGTCCCTTAAAACGAGTGCAGAAGAAAAGAATATGCACAATTTGAGGGAGAAGAGACAACCTAATCCAGGGGTGTCAAACTAGATTTCATTGAGGGCCGCATCAAGGTTGTGTTTGACCTTGGGAGGGGGCATGGCCAGGGTAGGCATAGATAGTCACTCATGTCACTCATAGTCACTCGCTAAGTCACTCATGTTGGGGGCACCTGTGATGGTCAACTTCCCTCAGACCTCACTTTCATTATAATCTATCCTCCTTCCTTCCTTCCTTCCTTCCTTCCTTCCTTCCTTCCTTCCTTCCTTCCTTCCTTCCCTCCTCTTCTTTTTCTTTCCCTCTCCCTTCTCCTTCCTTTCCCTCTTTCCTTATTTTCCTTCCTTGATCTCTTCCCATCTTTCCTTCCTGTTCTTTCCCTTTCTCCTTTCCTGTCCCTTCCTGCATGCTCAAATGCAAAAGGGGAAACATTTCTCCTTTTTTGTTTCTCTTTTGTTTTTAGTTTGTTTTGCTAGCCCGCTTCCAGCGAAAACGGAGCTTTGGGGGGGGGGGGGCCTTCATGCAGCCTCCCAAGCTCCATTTTCACTGCCAGAGGCACCGCGGGCCTATCCTTTGCGGTTTCCAGGGCCGCCCTGCCGGCCAGTTCTAAGCACCCCATGGGCCCTTGAGTTTGACACCCCTGACCTAACCACTACAGGTAGTCCTCAACATACGACCACAATTGGGACCAGAATCTCCACTGTTAAGCCAAGTGGATGTTACATGAGTTGCGCCCGATTTTACGACCTTTTCATCACGGTCGTTAAGTGAATAGCACAGTCATTAAGCGAATCCGTCTTCTCTCACTGACTTCGCTTGTTGGAAGCTGGCTGGGAAGGTTGTACATGATGGTCACATGACCCCAGGATGCTGCAACCCTTATAAATATATACCAATCGTCAAGCACCAGAATTATGCCGATCACATAACTGTGGGGACGCTACGATGGGTGGTTGTTAAGTCTGAGTACCGATCGTATGTCACTTTTTTCAGTGCCATTACAATTCTGAACGGTTTGTAAATGAATGGTTGTAAATTGAGGACTGCCTGTACGAGAATTTCAAGATTTCTAGGTCCATGGAGGCAAAACAGAGTCTCTGTGTCTATTTAATCCAAACCATCACAGTTTCTGTCTGGAATTCTATTTTCAGTTTTACATTTTACAACAGCCTCTGGGAAAGGATCGTGCAATATTCCCAGACCTTTTCTGAATTTTCTAAGTAGGGAAATATTATTTCCCCCCCCCCACTCCTGGGACTTCAAATGAAAGGGAGTTCCTTTTCCAACCTACTCTTGTGTGCGCATCGCATTCACGTCCGAAGACCAAGGAGCCTGTGTGGTCTACAAACAATAGCCTCGTGGGATGGAAAGTGCTGTTGTCCAGGTTTAAAACTGAGGGAAAACCACAGTGGTGGGATTCAGCCAGTTCACACCAGTTCAGGAGAACCAGTTGTTTAACTTTCTGAACAGTTTGGTGAACTGGTTGTTGGAAGAAATCATTCGGGCAGAGAACCGGTTGTTAAATTATTTGAATCCCACCAGTGGGGGAAACCAAGCGTCCGAGACAGACAAAAATTTCAAATGATCTACTGCTAACTTAAGGGTGAGAAGGGACAACTCAAATCTCACACAGTTTACAAGGTAAGGCAGAATGGGGTGGACAGACAAAGAGCAAATTTGGGACCCAATGTGACGTTTCTAAAATGACCAGACAGACAGACAGAACGAAAACAGAGTGAAAACCTTTTTGGACAGGATGAGGTCAAAAAAAAAAAAATTACGATAAAGAGAAACAGTGGCGCAAAATAAATTCCTCCTGGTTATTTACTCCAAATGTTAATTATTTCTTCACCGATTCTAGCTGGGCTCTTGTTTCTAACCGTTAGATTACTGAGAGGGAACCCCTCTTTTAAAATTTAAAGAGTGCAACTCCTTATTACCTTAAGGGACAGCCAGATCAATCGTAACTGCCTCTTTCCTGCATAATGTGATTATTCAAAAGGCTCACCCCTTGTTGAGGCCCTAATCCCAGCATCGGGAAAAAGAAAAACCGTGTTTCCTGGAAGCCAGCAAATCAATCAAAGGCACTCAGTAAAGATGAATATCTAACCTGGAGTAGTCATCTTCCACTAGCATGTGCTTTGGGATAGGTGAGTATCTTCCAGGTGAGATGGGAGCCAGCGAGGTCTTGTATTCTAAAGTGTCATTGTTGCCTGAAGACAGGATGTGGTTTTCCATTTGTGGGGAATAAGCTACGGGGTTAAAGAAGACGTGCAATTACCATTCCATTCATGCCACCGTTCAATTCACGGCAAACAGCCTGAGGTATTACAGAAAATTCAAGGGGCCCCTTGTGTCTTGTTTGGCAAACAGGCACACGTAGGAAAGGAAATCAGGGGTGGGCTTCATAAACTTTAGCAAACAGTTCTCTGCCTGGTTGCGGGGTGGGTGTGGCCATTGTGGGTGTGGCCTAGTCAGCCTCTTGCACCACAGCGGTGTGTGTGTGTGTGTGCTTTTTTGCCCTCCCTGGGCTCCGGAGGCTTGAGCCTCCGGGAGGGTGAAAACGGCCTCCCCGGACTCCGGAGGCTCTCCGGAAGCCAGAAACAGGCCCATTTCTGGCCTTCCTGAACTTCCGGGAGGCCCGTTTTTCACCCGCCCTGAGCCTCCGCATGCGCCCTGCACTTACCTGCATCCAAAACGGGCCACATGGGGGCTCCTGGGAGGGGCAAGGTGGGGCAGGGGGGGGTGGGATTTGGGGGTTCTCTGAACTGCACAGAATCTTAGCTAGGGGATTTCCCAAATCCCAGCGAACCCCAAGCAGCCTACCAAATCCTGGAAAGGATTTTAGGAAGTTTAAGGCATCCAAGGTTTAAACCAGGGGTCCCCAACCCTTGGCTGCGGCCCATTTCCTGGACTTGAACCTTTCGGAACCAAGCAGTGGAAGTGGCGTGCGTGTGCACAGGTGTGTGCATTCCCACTTGTGCAAGGAGAGAACAAGCATGTGCACTCCCTTTGGGCCAGTGGCACAGTCGCTTGCCTGCCACTCAGGCGGACCCGCCCCCTTCTGCCCCCATCTTCCCCCTTTGCTGGTCTACAAAGCCGCAAAGGTTGGGGGAACTCTGGCTTAAAGAGAATTGAGCGACTGGCATTTAACGTTAGTATTTTTCAAAGGTTTAAACAGGGCTCAAATTTTTGGCTCTGGGCTCTGGGATCGCCAATAGAGAAGATAATATTTGTAGCTCAGGGTTGAACTGAGGGGTCCTTGGTGCTCTCTCTCTCTTTCTCCCTCTCTTTCTTGGTGCTTGGTTGTTTTCTTGTGGGAGTTTCATTACCCAACTAAGTAACATCATCAGTGCTAGAAGGGAATGGGGAAGGAGGGTGGTGGTGGTGGTGGAAGAGGAGGAGGAGGAGGAAGAGGAGGAGGAGGAGGAGGAGGAGGAGGAGAAAGTCGACAACTGTGGTCCTTTGTGCTCTATGAGCCAGATTGTTTTCTTGCAGTTATTTCATTACCCAACTAGGTAACATCATCAGTGCTGGAAGGGAGTGGGGTTTGCTTTCAGTTTATATACAAGTGGCTTGCACTGTCAGTGTTGGTGGGAATGTTCTTGGTGGTTTCTTGATTAGGCTGTTACTAGCACTGCTGATGTTATCTCGTTGGGTAACAAACCATCCACAAATAAACAACCAAGCTCAGAGACACCAAGGACCTCTCGTACAGTACTAAATTAGTGTCAGATAAGGGTCAATGGAATTCAAGAGACATTTGTGGAAATGTAACAACTCTAGGCTGATGACTTGCTTAACTCCGCCCCCAGCTCTTCGTGCTCTCCTGCTACAATAATATGAGTTCTGGAGCAATTTAAATGATGCTACACCTTGGTTAGGTTAACCTCCCTCCCCCAGAATTATGGTTTCAATCACATAGTTCCTTATCTCCCCTCTCCATTCATTCTTCACTGAAGGTTCTTCAGTATATTTGAGTGAGAATCCTTTATTCTGAATCCATTTGGTACTTTTCCCTTAAAACATCACTCAAACATTTAGAATGTGACAACAACATCCAAGAAAAAAAAATTGTATATCATAACTTACGATGAGTAATATCTGGAGGGCCATAAGGGTCGGTCATATAGATGGTGGTTGGTTTCCCCACTTTTAAATAGACTACGTCAGATGTATTCTTCAATATTGCTACTGCTTCTTCGTGTGTTACTTCTTCTAAACTGTAATTATTTACCTTAACGAAAGCAGAAAGAAAAGTCTGATGTGGAAACCGAGCCAACATTTGCTCACGCGCTAATCAAAAGAAGACAACTTTTTACTCTAGGAACAGAGTAAATTATGCCAATTCTGTGTGACGAATAAGGTATTTTATCATTCAAATGATAAAAAAATTCAAAGACGCTGAGCTTGTTGATCAGAAAGAGCGGCAGTTCGGTGGTTCGAATCCCTAGTGCCGCGTAACAGAATGAGCTCCCGTTACTGGTCCCAGCTTCTGCCAACCTAGCAGTTTGAAAGCATGTAAAAATGCAAGTAGAAAAATAGGGACCACTTTGGTGGGAAGGTAACAGTGTTCCGTGCGCCTTCAGCATTTAGTCATTCCAGCCACATGACCACTGAGACGTCTTTGGATAGCGCTGGCTCTTCGGCTTTGTAATGGAGATGAGCACCACCCCCTAGAACCGGAAACGACTAGCACATATGTGCGAGGGGAACCTTTATCTTTACCTTATCATTCAAATGCAGTCTTCTAGATAGCTGGTTAGGGTTATGAATTTTGGACTGGAGAAGCTACATAGAACTGGATCTATTTAGTAGCAAATGGATGAGGGAACTATCGTGAAATCCAGGAGCTTCAAGTTCGACCGGGAAGTAAAAAACTAAAACAAAATAAATTCTTGGAAGAAGATAATGGTGGTGCAGTGGTTAAAATGCCATATTGCAGGCAAACTCTGCCCACAGCCTGGAGTTTGATCCTGATGGGATTTGAGGTTGACTCAGCCTTCCATCTGTCCTGCCCCTGTCGGAATCTGAGGGGGAGGTTGAGCACCTGACAGGGAGTGGGAGTGTGGCTCTGTTGGCTGTGGAAGAAACTGGAGAAGGGCACAGTCCGGCTGGGCAGAGCAGGGGAGAGGTAGAGCAAGGCAGAGGGAATTCAGAGGAAGATTTAGGGCCACCCCGTCTTCATCCTAGGGTATGCAGGGAGGAACGGAGAAGGGAGCAACGTGAGTTGCATGGCTTACGGGGAAGGAAAGGCCCTGATTCCCTTCATAAGCTGCAGCTGGAAACACAGTGTTTAAAAAGGGGAGTTTGCCCACAGCAACTTGTTTGAAACAATATTATCTTATTTTGTCAAGGCTTATCTGGGTTCCTGACGTCTTCCCAACTGTGTATGTTTTGTTGGCCTTTGTAGTCTGCAATTCCTTATCCTGCCCTATCCAGTTAATTGCTGCAGAGTGTGGTTTGTGTGGATTTTTATGTACAGTTTGTACGTACTTTGTTTTTGGACTGAATTTCCTCCACTTAAAAACTGTTCTTGGGAGAATTTTTTCTCCAGCCGAACGTAACTGGACATTGGGGGCAAAGTTGGCGGTATTAAAGGAACTTTTCTTACTCATGTGACTGTGTTGCTTTTGTGCCACACCCCGGGTCATCACACCATCCTTCCGAGGTCAGTGAAATGATGATCCAGATTGTTGAGGATAATACGTAAATAATGCTTTTGCATTGTAAACTTCCCAGAGAGTGCTGTAAAGCACTATGGGCTGGTATATAAGCCTAAATGCCATTGCTAGTGGAAAATCCAATGGGATCTATTATAATGCCTTGGTAAGACCACACTTGGAATACTGCATGCAATTTTTGTTGCCACGATGTATAAAAGGTGTTGAGACTCTAGAAAAAGTGCAGAGAAGAGCAGCAGAAATATTATGGGACTGGGGGCTAAAAGGTAGAACGAACGGTTGCTGGAATTGGGTATATCTACGTTTGGTGAAAAGAAGGGCTTCCAATTTCCCAGGGGTTGCCACAAAGAAGAGAGAGTCGGGCTATTCTCCAAAGCACCTCAGAGTAGGTCAAGAAGTAAAACGTGCTTATCAAAGGTTATCCAAGAGAGATCTGGCCTAGAATTAAGGAGAAATTTCCTGACAGGGAGAACAATTAATCAGTGGAACAGCTTGCCACCAGAAGTTGTGGATGCTAAATTACTGGAGGTTTTGAAGAAGAGATTGGACAGTCATGGTGTAGGGTTTCCTGCCTGAGCAGGGGGATGGACTAGAAGACCTCCAAGATCCCTTCCAACTCTTTTGTTATTTTGTTCTGCACTAACTGTAGATCATAAGGAGGTACAAAGATGCATGGTGAACGAGTAAGAACCCGTGTGTGTTATGTATTATATTTCATCACACTATCGATAAAAAAAAAAAATCGATGCCAATTCTCACCATAAGAAGCCTGTCCCCTACTTGCAGCCGTCCATCCTTTTGGGCTGCTCCACCATCAATAATTTTTGTGACATAGATGCTGTTGTCCCCAGGGATGTGCTGGTTTCCTACGCCTCCGGCAATGCTGAATCCCAGACCTAAAGGGAAATGAAAAAGGAGAAGAACCTTTATTGAGAGTACACTTTATTGAAAATGAACTAAGGTTAAGCTCAAAAGCAGTATCTCAGGCTACGTCAGGCCCCCCCAAATCCAAGAAAAAAACATTGGTCATTCTTTCAAGATGAGTTCTTTATTATTCCACCCCTATGGACAGTATAGGGCCACAGTGGCTCAGTGGCTAAGACGCCGAGCTTGTCGATCAGGAAGGTCGATAGTTCATCGGTTCAAAGCTCTAGTGCTGCGTAACGGAAGGATCTCCCGTTACTTGCTTCTGCCAGCCTAGCAGTTCGAAAGCATGTAAAAAATGCAAGTAGAAAAATAGGGACCACTTTGGTGGGAAGGTCACAGCGTTCTGTGCACCTTTGGCGTTTAGGCATGCCGGCCACAGGACCACGGAGATGCCTTTGGACAGCGCTGGCTCTTCAGCTTTATAAGAGAGATGAGCACTGCCCGCTAGAGCCGGAAACAACCAGCACGTATGTGCAAGGGGAACCTTTACCTATAGACAGAATCTTGCTAAAGTGAAGCACTCTACTATCAGCAAGAAGCATGTACACGTAGTCCTCTGAAGTGGCATGAAGACTTCACGTGATCTTGATTTGCAATCTTCTCAGACAAGCACAGTCAATGGGAGAGACAGGATTTGCTTAACGACCGCATGATTCACTTAACAACCATGGCAAAGAAGGTTGCAAAATCGGGCGTGAATCACAACAACCATGGCAAAAAAAAAAAGGCTGTGAAATTAGGGCATGATTCGCCCAACAACTGCCTCACTTGGCTATGAAAGTGGTGGTCTTATGTATGACCCCATGGGTGATCATAAGTTGAAGACTACCTGCACTATGTTAGCCTCATTGTCCATAATTACCTTTGGGTCCTTTGAACAGTTTAATTTCCACCACAGTCTCCAGAATAGGTCTCCTCCGACGGACATAGAGACGTACGATGGAGCCAGCTTCCTTCAGCGCCTCAACAGCTTTGCTATGTGAAACTTCGGATACGTCAGCCTCATTCACTCGCAAAATGCAATCATTGACCCTGGGGAAATAAAACCCAACAAGAACAGGAGACCAGTATAAGGACATTGTAATTTCAACATGACAAAGTGAATCGCCAGCTGTGCAGTCAATACTGTGGGATTCTTTGAGTATTTTCAAAGAAAAGAACTACCATGTTTTCCCCAAAATAAGACTGGGTCTTATATTATTTTTTTGCTCCAAAAGACACATTGGGGCTTATTTTGGGGGAAATACGGTACTAAAATGCACCTGTCTGTCTGACAATATTAAGTGGGGCTTATTTTGGAGGTAGAGCTTATGTTACGAGCATCCTGGAAAATCATGCTAGGGCTTATTTTCTGGTTGGGTCTTATTTTGGGGGAAACATGATATGTAGCAGAAGATATTTATTTACCGTGTTTCTCATATAATAAGGCTGGGTCTTTTTTTTTTTTTAAGCCCCGAAGAAATGGCTAGGTCGTCTTTTTGGGGGTGACTTAATTCCCCCCCCTTGCATCTTCGGGCGGGCGGGCAGCGACGACAGGTTGGATGTTGACCTCGACGTTGGTGGGGCACTTCGTATCGTGGTCAACGCAGGCAGCACCATATCCGGGTGTGCAACAAAAGTACTTCCTAACGGCAAGCCCCCCCACCATTCCTCCCCATTTCGCATGTTTTAATATAGGCCTTAATTTTGGGGGAGGGGCTTAATTTCATTTCATGCCTATAAAACATGCTGGGACTTCCTATTGGGGGAGGCCGTATTGTTGGAGAAACAGGGTATTTAGGAGTTTTATATTGCCGCCTATTTGCACATGGCGACTCAAGGCGGCTTACAAAAATATAAAAAAACATCATATAAAAATAATAAAATTAATAAAAGAGGCATATATTAATAAAATAATGAAATAAAATAACCCTCCCAAACCCCCGCCCCAGCGACAGCTCATCATACGAGCCATTTAACGGGCTCCATCCCGCTCTGCATTCCCCAGGAGGGCTGGCAGAACCAGGTCTTCCGCACCTTCTGGAAGAGTGTCAGAGTAGGGGCCATTGTAATTTATGGGGGAATGATGTTCCAGAGAGAGGGAGCCACCATGGAGAAGGCCCTTCTTCTGGGTCTCATCAGGTGTATCTCCCTAGGGCAGGGGTTCCCAACCTGGGGTGCGAGACGATATTCCAGGGGGTGCGAGAAAAGTCCAGGTAAATAATAGGATATCGGCTATATGTTGGCATTTTTATTTATTATGCAATGGATTAACTTTGTTTTCATTTTAGAGTTAAGCATCGTTATTTAGTGGCCGTCACATACATAGCTGAAAAGATTCAATCCTACCATATATTTAACGCGTTCAGTAGTTCCTAAAGTTTAAATTTCAGGGGGTGCAAGGTTCGAGTGAAATTTCTTTAGGGGTGCGGGGCGAAAAAAAGGTTGGGGACCACTGCCCTAAGGGATGGGACCCGCAGGTTACCCTGCCTCCCCGCTCTGGTGGGTTGGGTGGATATGATTGGCAAGAGACGGTGTTGTGGTTCGCTGGCAGCAGGTGTGGATGGCTGAGGTCTCGGAGAGTGAAGACTTAGACGAGGGGCCTGCGTGTGATGCAGGGATGCAGCCAGGATCATCAGGGAGCGGAATGCTGCCTTTGGAGATGGTGGAGGCTGGCAGCAGTGAGGAAGAGTTCCCCGAGGAGCCTGTGCCCAGTGCATGTGCGCGCAGGGCTGCTCAAAGAGCAGCTGCAGCAGCACGGGCGACTTGGGAGTAAGACTGCAAGGTAATGGCCCCTCCCTTAAGAGATAAAAGCCAGCTGAGAAACCGCAGTTCTTTGCAGAAGGCAAAGAAGTTTTACACTCGAGTCTGGTGGTCGTTAGGAATATCTTAGTTGGTGCTTGGAGACTCTTTGTGTTGGAATTATTGCTTAGTAACTTTATCTGGTGTTCTTGGCAGCCTTGCAAAACCTCGGCAAGGTTCTTTCTTATCGGAGCTAATTGATTTGAAGCAGCCTTTTACCCGTGAAGGAACGGGGTTCGTAAAGAAACATTGAAAGGTTGCGCTGTTACCTTTGTCTCGTGTTTGCTTCCTCGGAACCAGGTTTGGGTCAGAACAGACGGTCCCTCAGATCACCTGGTCCCAAGCCATGAAGGGCTTTAAAGGGGACAACCAGCACCTGGAATTGCACCTGGAAGCAAATCGGCAACCAAGGCAGCTCCCGCATGAGAGGTGATACATGTGCACACACCAAGGTCTGCACAAAAACCATGTGGGCCGCTGCATTTTGCACCAACTGGAGCTTCCGGATGCTCTTCAAGGGCAGCCCCATGTAGATATAGGCCCATGTCAAGCACTTGTATCACTGATGTAGAAAGATATGGAATACAGGCAGTTTTCGGCTTACAACCATTTGTTTAGTGATCGTACAAAGTCACAATGGCACTGAAAAATGTGACTTATGGCTGTTTTTTTATAGTTATGATCTTTGCAACATCCCCATGATCAACGTGATCAAAATTCAGACGCTTGGCAACCTGTTCGTATTTATGACCGTTGCTGTGCCCCAAGGTCATGGTGGTCCCCTTTTTACGACCTTGTGACAAGCAAAGTCAATGGGGAAGCCAGATTCACTTAACAGCCGGGGTTACTAACTTATCAATCGCAGTGATTCCCTTAACAACGGGGACAAGAAAGGTTGTAAAATGGGGCAAAATTCACTTAACAAATGTCTCATTTAAGAACAGAAATGTTGGGCTCAATTATGGTTGGCAGTCAGGAACTACCTGTATCATCATCATCATCTCTTTTTAATGACCCCCATAATCCCTTGTGGGGTGGAGTCTGGGCAGCTGAATGGAGCTGAGTGTTTTACTGGCTCATTGCCCTTCCTGTCGCCAATGCGGAGTTATATTCAGCAGATATATTCTCATCGTGCCCAGAGAGAGAAAATATCTGCCTCTACCTAGGATCGAACTCACAGCCTCCTGATTGTGAGGCGAGAGCTCCACCTCTAGGCCACCGCACCACTCCAAGGACCACCTGTATGGCAGCTAGAAATGCCAGTCCGGTGGCATCTGTTTAAAAACCTGATTGTCCAATGGGATTGCTTTATTTACTATATACTGTACCTATTAAATCGGCTGCTAAATAGTATAGTTATCTGGGTGATTCACGAACATAAAATGAGACAACACACTTTTGTTTTAAGTTATACCACAAGACAGCAAACTTACAGAATGAAAATTCCCTGCAGGACAGGAAACGTAATAATTAAAAGCCAGGCACATGCTATTTTTATACGTAGTTAAATATAAGCTATAGCTCAACATAAGGTGAAATAAACACTCTTCAGTATTCATAACAATTTGCTCGGAAATTCTCAAACCGGAGCAGCTACAAAATACCGTGCAATCTGTGTGCTGTATGAAAAAAATAAATTAAACTGCTTTCCACCAAATAAACGATGCGTGATTAGAAATATATCTCGGCAGACTTTATGGAGATGGAGGGAACAACACCATGAGCTCCGACAAAATTTTATTTCCCTTTTCAGAGAGGAATAAGTTTTGCTAATCGCACATGCCACACGCACACTATCTGAAGACATACTTGAACTGACAAAAGACAAAAAAATCCAGTTTTGCTCAGTGATTCTCTTTTAAGCTAAGCGCTAAAGCCAACGATACAGGTGTAGCAAGCTTGCTGAAGGTGTGGTTCCTCTTTGATTTTATCTCAATCTCTTTCTCTTTCCTCTCCTCTCTCTTCTCTCTCACCTCCCCCCTCTCCTCTATCTCATCTGGATCTCTTCTTTATCTCATCTATATCTGTCTCTTTCTCTGTGTGTCCCTCTCTCACACACAGACTCACACATATCTCTCCTCTATATCGTTCTCTCTTTCCCTCTCTCTCTCTTCCTCTCCCTCCCTCCCTCCCTCCCTCCCTCCTGCTCTCTCTCTCTCTCTTCTTTTCCCCTCCCTTTGTCTGCAGAGACTAAGAAACACATTTGTCACAACTCTGTGATGCCTAAATGTCATCCTTCATTTAAGGACCAGCAATTCAGGTTGAGCTACATTTGATAATCTGCTTGCACTCCTTTTGAATGACTTTTGGGAGCCAACATTTAAACCCCGGAATACCCGAAACTGTCCCAAACAATAATACAGAAACAGACCAAAAAGAGATTTAAATAATTTGCCTGACCTACTTTGGCAAAACCCTCCCTGCAGTTTTCACAAACTGAGTTGGCTACAATTACCTGGGTACAGGCAGGGGTGGGATTCTACCAGTTCGCACCTATTCGCCAGAACCATTTGTTAACCTTCGAAGCAGTTCAGAGAACCGGTTGTTAGAAGAAATTACTGGCCTAATCCTGTAAGGAAGGCAGGAAGGAAACATTCTGGTGTTGCTTACAGAAACTGCCTCTCCGTTAACCCTTATTACATTCTTGGCAGGACTAGACTTCTTGTCTCAGGAACTTCTCTGGAGTTTTTTCCCCCCTCCTTTGCTGGTACTTTGCTTGTGTGGAGGGACCATTCAAAGTTACAATGGCACTGAAAAAAGTGACTTATGACCATTTTTCACACTTACGACTGTTGCAGCATCCTCACAGTCACGAGAGGCGATGCGTGCCTCAATGTGAGTGATGTTGAGTTGGCCACACCCATCCAGTCACATGACCACCAAGCCATGCCCGCCACAGAACTGGTTGTTAAAAATTTTGAATCTCACCCCTGGGTACAGGTAGTGACAGCTCCAGTGGTTTATTAACTTGCTTTGGCTACAAAGGTTCTTTTTAAGACACCCACTGAAAATGCCGCGGTGACAACACAAACTATCTGTGTTATTTTGGGGAGGACAATTTATGGATTCCTCTATCTGTATGAATTCTGGAGTGGGTACTGGAATAAGGGATGATAAGCCTCGAAGATTTTTATCAAAAATCTTTGTTTCTGCTTTGTGCTTCCTCCTTGATCCAGAGGTGGGGACCCTTTGGGGCTCAATGGGTCAAAAGTTTGGAAAATTGCCTTTTCTTTCTATCTTTCTATCTTCAT